CATCGCCTCCCTTGGTGCTCTCCCCCATCGCCTCCCTTGGTGCTCTCCCCCATCGCCTCCCTTGATGCTCCCCCCCATCGCCTCCCTTGGTGCTCCCCCGATCACCTCCCTTGCACCTAGTTTTCTGGTGTGCTTCTGATCCGGCAGGTCCTGCTCTGAATCCTCACACAGCTGTCAGCTCAGTGCCTGAGCACCTGCTGTCTCTCCTGAGCTTTTCCTCATTTTTAACATGGATCGTTTCTCATGCATGCAGGGTCATGGCTTCTCAGGTATGCGGGGACGTTTTTAGTTGACCTCCCCGCCTCGTTTTCCAGGTTGGCACATGGCCCCCTCGCCGTGTGGTCTGTGCTGGCTGCCTTTGCAGTGACCACGGCTCCGACCCGCCATGAGGTTCCTGCCGGGGCGTGCGCGGCTCCGTAGAGGTGCCTCCTCTTAGCCCTGCCTCGTCCTGCTCAGGTTACTGACAACTGCAGGGAGACGGTCCCCGTCCTTGTGGTGGGACGTGGTTCTCCATCCTCCGGGGTGTCCGCGCTGCCCCTCTCTGCTGCCCCGTCCGGGGCTGCGAGCCCAGAAGCAGTGCTGATGGCCGATGGCCGCCGTCCGCGGGCCCCCTTTCCCTCACAGGTGGTTGCTCAGCTGGGCCCGGCCTCACCAGCCGCTTCCTTCCTCGGGTCAGCTCAGCTGGCCTGGCATAGGGTGCGCCGCGGCCGCAGGGAGGGTGGAGACCGCGCCGTCCTTTGCAGATTCTGACCCACTAAATGAAACCTGACAGGGCTTCACAAGCTCTCTAAGCAACTGAATGAAGCTCCGTGGTGGTGGAGGGGGGGGTTGCAGTATAAGGCAGAAAACTCTAGGAAGGACAGATTGCCCTCGTTTGCTGAGGCAGAGATGCTGGGTTCCCGCCACCATGTTTTCCGAGTGGTGTCTGGTCTCTGACACCAAAGCTGCCCAGTGCAGGAGCCCTTCAGGAGCAGCGCCGCCCTCAGATTTTATTGGGTCAGCATGATGGTCAGCTGCCTGTTCTTTCTCAGCTCTGTTCCCCACCGTTGCTCTGCTCTGTCTTGTGGAGACTCCTTCTCCTTGGCTTCTGGTTTCTGACCCTGGACGCTGGAGTGGGGCGGGGGGTGGGCTGGGAGCCAGAGCATCTCTCCCTCTGCCCCCTCCCTCCAAGGTGCCAGCTTCTACAGAGTTGTCCCCCGTGGTCCCAGCTCCTGCGGGCAGCATGGGCTCCCGGGCTCTGGGCCGCACTGCTGCCTCCCTTGGTCCTCCCCACCGGGGGAGACTGTGGCTGTCTGGGGGGGTGGCAGTATCTGGTTGCCTTGCCCTCCTCCACGTGGCTTTTCTGCTCTTCCATTGTTAGTGTGCTGGAAGCCACATTAAATTCCATGTGAGGTACCTAGATTCCTCTCTGACTAGACCCTTTTGGCCTTAATTACCTAATGAGTGGACAAGTCCTCCTGGGAAAAAAAAGAAAGAGATTGCTGTTTTAAACCTGGGCCTCTGGATCTTTGTTGCTCTCCCTCAGGTCTCTGGGTGGAGTCCAGCAAGCTCGGCGTTCAGGAGTGTGAGCAGAACCTGCCCCAGCTCGGAGTCACCTGGGCGGTGTGGTGAGCCTGGGTGTTAGATTGAAAAAGAGTCAGGCCCTTTCATATTGCTCACTTGTGTGTTGTTCTGTTATCTGGGGTTAACTGGGTTTTATTACCCAGACTGGTAGTGAATTGCCATATAAAGGCCAATGTGCAAAGCATGATGTTTTGGTTTTATGGACCCCCCTCCCCCACATACACACACCAACAAGTTAATTTTGGATAGCAGCCCGTTCATTAGCGTTGAGGGCAAATACTAAGGGAGAAGTCTCAATAAGCCTCTATACTACTCACTTTTTTTTTTTTTTTTAGATTTTATTTATTTACTTAGAGAGAGAGAATGAGAGAGACAGAGAGAGCATGAGAGGGGGGAGGGTCAGAGGGAGAAGCAGACTCCCTGTGGAGCAGGGAGCCCGATGTGGGACTCGATCCTGGCAGTCCAGGATCATGACCTGAGCTGAAGGCAGTCGCCCAACCAACTGAGCCACCCAGGCGCCCTATGCTACTCACTTTTTGACATTGAAACGCACTGCCTGACCGCGGTGAGGAGGGGCGGGAGCAGAAATCGAGGGCAGGGCATCCAGGATTTGGTCCATGCCTGCTGGCTGGTGGCCCCGCAGGGACAGCAGGGGCAGCCCACATGTGATTATTCTGATTCTAAAGGGATATACTTGTTTTCTTTGCACTTTTTATCTCCAAATGGGCGACCTTTAAAGTATTTGTTTTATTTTATTTACCTATCTGACTTACTGGTAATTGCTTCCTGCATCTGTAGCATCTATAAACAAAGCTCTGGAGCAGGAACCGCCCAGAAGCTGGTGTGCACGAGTCTGCCTTTCCCCGGGCCTGCGTTATAGCAGGGGGATGGGTGTTGTGGTCAAGCTCAGTGGCCCAGGTGTCAAGCCGCTGACGAGGCGGAGATGAAAACGTAATGTTCTGACACAGATTAGGGAAGATCGATGTGCAGTGGTTTGCTCTTTGTGTCCTGTTTCAGCAAGAGCTAGT